GACTATACTGTAGCTTGCTATGAAGAATGAATGTCACTCGGCAGTGAGGTCCATGACAGCTAGGACTTGAAAGCCTTGGTAATCTGAAACAAAAAGAAGACGACAGTCAGAAGGTGCACAATAATATATGCTTATAATATATGAACAATAATATGCTTGATACTTATAGATGGGAGGGAGGAAGGTTTTGCAAGCAGTTTGAGCATACTTCCCGAGCTGTAACGCAACACATATATCCCCGGTCTAATAAAAAATGGTAGTGACCTACGTGGCCTGACTGAACTATCGCTGCGCTCGATTTTGTTATTTGTTTACTACTAAACAGGACATATTGTATGTTGTAGGCTATTTGTAATGTGCAGTTTCTGTACATTAAAAAAATAATAAAAAAGAATCCACAAAAATAATCATTTGTTGTACACATGTAATAAATGTTTTTTTTTTTAAAGAAAATTTGAAATTTTACCTGAGATACTGCTCTAAAAAGATAAGTATGAAAATATAATTTACAGATAGAAATAGCAAAGTGCAAACATTTTACTACTTTCTGTAACGAGGGAGGTGTGACGACAAAGTGGGGATCCAAATGCAAGGCTTTAATAAGAGCATAGTCAAACAGGCATGGTCAACAACAGCAAACAACAATGGCAGTGGCAAGGCAAAAGAGTAATCCAGATAATCAGGCAATGGTCAGGGCAGGCAGCAAAACAATCATAAACAAGAAAACAGTCCAGGGATCAAAACACGAATGCAAGGAAACTAGAAACACGGAAGAGCTATACAACATACAATCACCAGCGATGACAGAGAGTGTGTGTGCTATTCTTATAGTCCTACTAATGTGAGACAGCTGTGAACTGATGATGAGATCTGATGAGAGACAGGTGATGCACTTGATGAGTCCGGGCAAAGGATTATGGGAAATGGAGTCCTGAGTGAATGGCAAGTTACAGAATGGAGATCATGACAGAGCCCCCCCCCCTAAGGAGTGGCTTACAGACGCTCCTTAACCTGAACAGACCAGAGTCCAGGAGGGAGGTGGAGCGGAGGTGGAACAGGGGGAGGGATGGAGGGCCAGGTCCATGAGGAGGGAGAGGAACAGGGGACTGAGACAGAGCCGGCGGAGCGGAGAGCCAAGGTGGAACTGGCGGAGCAGAGCCTGGAGCGAGCACCGCCATCTCTGGAAGTTCTGTGGTAGTGTATGCAGCCCAAACACACCAAAAAGCAATTCCCATCATGGGAAGCGCTTCAGACAGGGGAATCAGTTCACGAACAGGAGGGCTAGAGTGAGTGGGTTTGGGGATTCCAGCTGCGCGAGCAGACACCACCGGTGCATCCCTCACACTGGATACCAGACTGGGACACCGAAGGGCTGACCTTGATAATCTGGGTGTAACAGACAGGACGTGACATGACTCTGGATGAATAGCTGAGACGTGACGTGACTCTGGACGAACAGCTGAGACGTGACGGGACTCTGGACGAACAGCTGAGATGTGACGAGGCTCTGGCAGATCAGATGAGACTTGACTGGACTCATGAAGATCAGTTGTGACCTGACTTGCCTCATGAAGATCAGCTGTGACTTGACATGCCCCATGAAGATCAGCTGAGACTTGACTGGTTGGCCTGGAATGCTCAGAAAGCCGCTGGATCCGGGTGTGGCTGGTGATTCTGTAACGAGGGAGGCGTGACGACAAAGTGGGGATCCAAATGCAAGGCTTTAATAAGAGCGTAGTCAAACAGGCGTGGTCAACAACAGCAAACAACGATGGCAGTGGCAAGGCAAAAGAGTAATCCAGATAATCAGGCAATGGTCAGGGAAGGCAGCAAAACAATCATAAACCAGAAAACAGTCCAGGGATCAAAACACGAAGGCAAGGAAACTAGAAACACAGAAACTTAGAAACCACGGAAGAGCTATACAACATACAATCACCAGCGATGACAGAGAGTGTGTGTGCTTTTCTTATAGTCCTACTAATGTGAGACAGCTGTGAACTGATGATGAGATCTGATGAGAGACAGGTGATGCACTTGATGAGTCCGGGCAAAGGATTATGGGAAATGGAGTCCTGAGTGAATGGCAAGGTACAGAATGGAGATCATGACACTTTCACTGCACTACTAACTTGTAAAATGATTTTGCATGTGAATGCATTATTTGAAATACCTCTTGAATTTATACTTTAATATTTAAAATGTCTTACAAATATTCAGCAGTTTTATGACCAGATATAATATTCAGCAGTTCACCAGAAAAATAAATAAATAAAGATATATTTTATTAGCTCTTAGTGTGAAATAACAGTAACATGTGGATTAACATACATTTCCTCATACTTTGTATTTTTTCTATTTAAAAATCTAGAAGTGGGCTTATCAGGTGTGTGAGTTTATAGGGTTGCTTCCCCTAATGCTGCATAGACAGGGATGGTAATGTCCGGTCCATGCACTTCCATTCGCTCACCACCAGAGATCACCCGCTCACTACTATGGACTCTTGCACCACACTACTGTTGCACTTCACCCGGACTACAGTTCCCATCATCCATTGCACTGATTACACACACAGCTGAATCCAATCAGACATGCTACATAAGCCATGGACTTCCTCTCTCTCAGGGCCGAGAATTCTGTTACGGGGCAAACAAGACGTGAGACGTACGGATCCATTTGCAAGCTTTATTAAGGGCGTGGTCAAAACAGGCGAGGGTCAGGCAATGGCAAACAGGTATATAGAAGACAAAACAAGAGCAGTCCAGTAAACAAGCGAGGCTAGGAAAACTAAGCAGGTTCCGTAAGGTAGCTATCAGCTATAGCAGTGATACACGCTAAACAATACTCGGCCCTGAGAGAGAGGAAGTCCATGGCTTATGTAGCATGTCTGATTGGATTCAGCTGTGTGTGTAATCAGTGCAATGGATGATGGGAACTGTAGTCCGGGTGAAGTGCAACAGTAGTGTGGTGCAAGAGTCCATAGTAGTGAGCGGGTGATCTCTGGTGGTGAGCGAATGGAAGTGCATGGACCGGATTCGTGACAGGTAATTGATTCCATCATGTTTATTTACAGTGCTGCTTGGTTGCCTGCTAGTCCTTCTTTGTTTTATTAGGACTGTTTCACACATAGTCTGTAGCAGTAGTGCTGCTGCCTGTTCCCGGTGTACACAGCCATCTGGCCAGCGGTGGCCTGCTCTGTGACCCGCTCATGTTCATTTCAGTTCATTTCAATGATTCCAGATTACAGCCTCACACTAGGATATACAGGGGTTGGACAAAAAATGTGAACACCTATTATTATTATTATTATTATTATTATTATTATAGGGTTAACATTTGTGTTCGATGATCTTTTTTAATTGTCCATATTCTCTGGGTAGTGTAGTATAAGTTGTGTTCAGCAGAATTTAGTACAAGCTATGGGTGAAGCTGGAGCATCTGTAACCTTAACAGCCCTATTGTTTGGTGTTTTAAGAGCAACAGTCTTTATGATTATGACTGCAGACACAAAGCGCAGCAAGACTTTATCAGCAAAGAAGATTGGGCAAAAATTAAAAGTGAACGATGTGAACATCGAAGACTAACAAGTGTGTCCAAACAAAACAGAACTACTGTGGCAAACCTCAATATTCACTTCGAAGACCCTGTTTCCACAGACACTGACCACAGACAAGTTCACGAAACCAGCATCCACGAAAGAGCTGTACCTGCTTTAACTTTAATCACAGACACTAATGCTAAAAGGTGAAAAATATGGAGTCATGATCATGAAACCTGGACAGGTGGAGTTCTAACTTCAACATCTGCCATGGTCAGAGAAATCACCTGACTTGAATATTATCAAACCTTTATGGATCGTTTTGGAGAGAGGAGTGAGCAGTAGATTCTCTGAAGCAACTGGCAAAGGTATTGATGGACGACATTCCACCGCAGAATATTCAGAGGTGGTATGAATCTACATTGCAGGCTGCATTAATATTGGTAAAACACCTCAATACAGAAATATTTCCCTCGTATTCACATGATTTTGTCCAACCACTGTCTATGTATTGTAATTGGTAATATGGTAAACCAGGTCATAATCATGTCCTGTGATAACTGACAGCATGCCACATATGCTGTTGACAGATTCTGAGTTGTAAATAACCCAAAAAACCTTAATATGATATTCTTGGCTATCTTAATTAGGTTGGGGGAGTGCATTTGAATTTGGTCTGGTGTGTCAACTGGGTTTCCATCCAACTATTTTGTTGCTCATTTTAAAAGTGCGCATAAGATGTCCTGAATGGAAACACTTAAAATGTCAACTCTCAAAATTTGCATACAAATTCATTGCACTAGGCAGAGGTGGATTACCTAGCATTTTGCATTCATTTGCAATGGACTGGTCCAATGAAGCATTGCATATAACTGCTCAAACGAACCGTTAGACGAAAGGAGTCTGGGGACGAATGGGAATAGCCGTTTGAGCCATCATAATGTGCGCTATAGACCTTAGTCATGGTAGACGCCATATTGAATTGTACAAAAATTATGAAAGTGATGCTGTGAGGGATAGACTTGCAGTCTTATGAATGGCATACACTGGTCCTAGATCAAATGTAATTCACAACTATCAAAACTGTTTAACAGAATTTTTCTCTACTGAAAGTTGGAAAGACAAATACATTGTTGTTAAACAGTAAATTGAACACACTGTACCCCTATGCTTCACAGCATCATTTTCATTCCTGTAAAAAACAAAACAAAAAAGAAAACATGGCGCTACCCTGACTAAGGTCTATTGCACTTCTTCTGCAACATTTTTGTATTATTGCTTTGTTACAGCAAATACAGTTTTTCTCAGAGCATCATGACAGCAGGCCTGCCTCAAGATTCACATGTTCTTTATTCAAGTTTTTATAGAAATGCGCATAACAAATGCTAAACATTTTGGATGGAAACTCAGCTCATGAGCCATTGGCTTGCTCTTACCAATGATGTCTCTTGCATCTTCCCAGGTATCAGCAGATATTGCACAGAAACTTGGTCTACCTAGCAACAATAGCAGACTCTAATCAGAATATGCAGTCTCTGTTACCAGCGGTATGTTATGACTGGAAGCTTTAACAGCTTTCTTTCTTTCATGCTTTCTTTCTTCCTTTATTTCTTTTTTTTTCTTCTTTTTTTTTTCTAAAAAAATGACAAAGAGTGCTGGGATGATGCAACAAAACTTTATACCAAAATCTATGCAGCATGATGCAAATGGTCACTTACCTGAATCATAATAATAAGTAAACAAACACACACACAGAGTATTTGACCTCTAGGGAGAGCTGTCCCAAAAAATCCCAGGGATTTTGCTGTGGAAGCAAGACGATACAAAGCCCAAGTCATGTACTCAGCAGTGGTTTTCATAATGCACGGTGCAGGAGACGTTACTTCTTCTCAAATCTTGTTTCTTTTCAATATTTCAATATACAGCATTGACATTGGTAAAAAAAAAACAATATTCAGTATTGCTTTATAAACCAGATCATTTTGAAAGTAGAGGAAAACAAACATACAGGAAAAAAGAAATGGGGGTTACTAGATATACTATCATTAGATTACTTCCAAATGGTCTAACTGAGGTCCCCCATGTGGCTTCAAATCTTTTTGGTGAGCTAAGCTCACTAAAACGTTACCGTTTCATTTGGGCCCAATCCCAATTCTATTGTATACCCCTTCACCTACCCCTACGCCTACCCCTGCCTCTTGTCCCTTGAAATAGTGTGTCAAGGGGTAGGGGTGAAAACGGGCGATTCTAGGATTTTTGTTTTAGGGGGGCTCAGCCCCCAATGAGGGTATAAAAAAATTAAAAAATTAAAAAAATTAAAAAAATGTTTGACTAATAGGGTAGGGTGGTATACTAAACTTATTGCAGTATTCCACTGTATTGCATAGATGGCTATAACATCTGAGTAATGAATAAGCCAAATACAAGTCTTCCTGATCTCTCTCTCTCACACACACACACACCTGCTTACTGTACACAAAATTTTAATGTTTGCATTTCTAGTACAAACCTCATTCTATGCTCGAGTACTGTCTATCACTGTCTTTAATCATTTCTGTGCATGACTGTATGGTAGTTAATGCCACATGCACTGTAATATGTTTTATATTGAAAGTTACATTTTCAAATGAAAATAGCAACATGATCGTTTAATAAAGTATACGTTCATATGTGTGAAGGGCAGCATTTTCGCTTGAGGAAACAGCTGTGGTGTGATGGGTAGATGGGAAACCGATTGCTCCCTCGTGACCTTTTGTAAACTGTATTTATGACAAAGAACGGCACAGATGCAGATATTATAACAATATATCGATAAACACACACCTTGTCCTCATGGCCGTAGCCAGGCTTTTAAAATTAGTGAGGTCCGGAGAGATGTTGGTGTTAAAGAATTGTGCTATAATACCCCCTACAAATACAACTCATTATATACACTATAAACACTTTAAAAGAGACAGACATGTAGATGTTTGTGAAAGATGTTTTCTCTGTTTTGGAGGAATAATCATTTTAAATCATACCCTATTTATTGCATCAAAAGTTGTTAATACTTTACTATAGTACGGGGTGGATAATTTTAGGCTATCAGTTGTTTATTATTCATGCAACAATACATATTATGGTTATAGTTTTTATTAATAACCATTGCTGATAACTTTGTCTAGTGCTCTTTTGAATGTTTATAGCATGATTTATGAAAAAAAAGCTACAATACTGAATGACATAGCATAGACTTTCTTCATGGCTAGTGTTTACGTATTTCATTTCATTCTGTAAACTACTCGTTCAACAGATCTGTCTACTAGTGTTAAATGATACTGTTTTTGACTGCATTGATAACGTTTCTGACAGATAATATCATATTTCTTTGCGTTTCCCAGATGTCGTATCCTGTCAGCAATAACCTGTCTGTGGGCTTTTTTGTTACTGTCAGTTTAAGTGCCGCCGATGCAGTGTTGCCAGATATTGCTATTAAAACAAACAAAAAACGAAAAAAACAAATAAATAAACCAAAATTATTTCAAATCTTTTGCTAATAAGATAAGATAAAGATATGGCTGACCCTAAACCGAAACTTCCTACTTTATTATCTTTCTAAAGTATTAAATTAAGTTAAAAAGACAAGTCCAAAAACGCTTATAATAGCTGGATCCGGCAACTCTCTCAAGTCTCACTCCGGCAGCGTCTCGCCGCGATCATTTTCATACCACGGACGTTAAAAATTCTTGCAAACTGTCTTAACTGTATTATACATGTCATGCAGACATTCATATGAGGAGTTTAAGATCAATTAGTCATTCAGAGAACAAATTTTATTTTTGAACATGGAAAATTTACGGTGACCTCATAGCTGGCTACGGGTCTGGTTCTGTTTCTCGCTCTGCGCCGCCACGGTCTGCGGACTAAAGAATTCGCTGAAAGACGGGGAGGAGCCGAAGCCTAGTGACACCCATGGGTGAAAATATTCCCCCTAAGAAATGGGACACCAATACTACACTGTTACACGTCATCATACATCGTCTAGCTCCTACAATACACATACCTATGCTGGTGTGCATTAGAGCCTTACCGTTCTATATTAATGCGCTGCTTACTGACACACACACACACACATCAGAGATCACGAAGCTCACACATGCAGGAGCAAAGAAACTTGTCAATCCTGCCCCACGACTTTTATTAATAACATAATTTTTATAAATAATGCTGTTTGTGAAGTAAACTCACTCATTGTAAAGAGAAACGCACAGACACACACAACTTTCATCTCTTTCTCTCAAATTGGCCATTCTGAGAAAAAGGTTTAGTGATTTCTAATTATTGGAGGGACAAGCCCCCTATGTCTATGGTGGTTATCACCTTGATCAGACATAAAATATGTTGTGGCATTATCGTGCAGTCAGTAATGATAACGTAATGATAACGTTAGCAAACTTTTACTTTTAACATTTTTGCAAACAATTCTTTGAATAACATGACCGTAAATATGAACACACGATTGAATGTAAAATAAACAAATTATTACTTTTCATTAAAATCTTTAATGACAAAAATGATTACATTTATGGGTCTGTTTGTTCGCTCGGGCAGCCATGTTGCCGCTGTTGTCACAGTCTTCAGCTGGTGTGCCCAGGATGGCCACCAGAGGACACTGTTTGCTTGTGTAAGCACATGGCTTGTGTCGTGTTTGTTTAGTTCCATGTGCTTTCTCCTGTCGATTGTCTGACCCCGCCTATCTTGTTACCTCATTATTGTTTCAGTTATTCCATCTGTCTCCCTCGTTACCTGCCCTACTTAAGTTTCCTCGCCTCATCTCTCCGCACGCACCGTGACAGAACGAAACAGCCATTTGAGGACTCCGCAGAGAATGGGGTCACTCCAGCTTCCAGCCTCGACTACCTGCAGCCCCCTCTACCAACGCATGCTCCAGGTAGCAGCATTGAGTTCCCTCCGTCAAAAGGGGACTGACCTGAAGGAATTCGCCATGAAGTTCAGGAGTGCTGCGGAGGGGCTGGATTATAATGATGCGGCTCTCAAGGACTTGTTTAATTATGTTCTTGATGAGCCCATCAGCATTGGGAGGATGTTCATTATGGAGCTTCTATCTTTTGAAGCGTTTGTGGAGTTCCTAGCCCACAGTGGGAGAAACAAGTCCTGGAGGACCCGACTCCAGTGGTCTCTAGTCCGGTGGTCCTGGAGGACCCGACTCTGGTGGTCCCAAATCCATTGGTCCTGGAGGACCCGACTCTGGTGGTCTCAAGTCCGGTGGTCCTGGAGGACCCAAATCTTGGGGATCCCAAGTCTGGTGGTCCTGGAGGACCCGACTCTGGTGGTCCCAAGTCCGGTGGTCCTGGAGGACCCGACTCTGGTGGTCTCAAGTCCGGTGGTCCTGGAGGACCCAACTCTGGTGGTCCCAAGTCTGGTGGTCCTGAAGGACCTGACTCCGGTGGTCTCAGAGATCACCACAGAGCTGCCCGATTTCGCTGCTGCCATAATCAAGAAGGCCGTCTTTGCCTTTCACCTCATGGCTGTTCTGTGGGCATGGGCTGCTTCAGAGTCTACTCCAGAGCCCGCTCCAGTCCGGGAGCCCTCAGAGTCCACTCCAGAGCCCGCTCCAGTCCGGGAGCCCTCAGAGTCCACTCCAGAGTCTGCTCCAGTTCGGGAGTCCTCAAAGTCCACTCGTGAACCTGCTCCAGTCCCGGAGCCCTCAGAGTCCACTCATGAACCCGCTCCAGTTCGGGAGCCCGCTGCAGTCCAGGAGTCCTCAGAATTCACTCAAGAGCCTACTCAAGTCTATGAGTTCATTCCTAGGCTCACTCCAGTCCCCCCCAAGGTGGTGACTTCTGCTGCAGAACCTCCTGAGGTGGCAGCATCCACTTCAGCTCCTCTCTGGGCGGTGGCGCCCACTCCTGAACTCTTAGTCTGTCTTGTCCCAGCCAAGGAGACTGTTGCTGAACTGTCTGCTGTCTGCAAGGCTGTTAATAACCTCTCTGTGCTCTTCATTGCAGTCCTGCCTGAGCCACCAGGGGGGTCATCTGCCTTATCAACTTCGCTGAGGTGGTCATCGGCTCCGCCCTTGCTGCTGGCCAAGCTCCCAACCTGGTCGCCCGCCGGGGTTGCTGTTCAGCCGGAGCCTCGCTGGTCTGTCCCTCCGGCTCCGCCCCGGTGGGCTTACGCTCAGCCCTGTCCTCCTGCTCTGCTGGCCCCGCTTTGGCCTCCTGCTCTGCCGGCTCCGCCCTGGTCACTTGCTCTGCCACAGTCTCCAGGCCCTCTCCCACTCCACAGGCCTGGCCCACCATCCCTCCCCCTGTTCTGCCTCCTCTCCACCACCCTCCTGGACTCCTTGTTTTGTGCCTCGGAATGTGGAGCGTCTGGAATCCGCTCCTTAGAGAGGGGGTTCTGTCACAGTCTTCAGATGGTGTGCCCAGGATGGCCACCAGAGGACACAGTTTGTTTGTGTAAGCACATGGCTTGTGTCGTGTTTGTTTAGTGCCATGTGCTTTCTCCTGTCGATTGCCTGACCCTGCCCATCTTGTTACCTCCTTATTGTTTCAGTTTTTCCATCTGTGTCTCC